CAGAGACCCACAGACTCACCACACAGAGACCCACAGGCTGACCACACAGAGACCCACAGACTCACCACACAGGGACCCACAGACTCACCACACAGAGACCCACAGACTCACCACACAGAGACCGATAGATTCATCACATAGAGACCCATAGATTCACCACACAGAGACCCATAGACTCATCACATAGAGTCCCATATCTTCATCACACAGAGACCCATAGATTCACCACACAGAGACCCATAGACTCATCACATAGAGACCCATAGATTCATCACACAGAGACCCATAGATTCACCACACAGAGACCCACAGACTCACCACACAGAGACCCACAGACTCACCACACAGAGACCCACAGACTCACCACACAGAGACCCACAGACTCACCACACAGAGACCCACAGACTGACCACACAGAGACCCACAGACTCACCACACAGGGACCCACAGACTCACCACACAGAGACCCACAGACTCACCACACAGATACCTATAGACTCACCACACAGAAACCCATAGACTCACCACACTGAGACCCATAGACTCACGACACAGAGACCCATAGACTCACCACACAGAGACCCACAGACTCACACACAGAGACCTATAGACTCACCACACAGAGACCCATAAACTCACCACACAGAGACCCACAGACTCACCACAGAGAGACACATAGACTCACCACACAGAGACCCACAAACTCACCACACAGAAACCTATAGACTCACCACACCGAGACCCATAGACTCACCACACAGAGACCCATAGACTCACCACACAGAACTCAGTAGACTGACCACACAGAGACCCATAGACTCACCAAACGGAGCTCAGTAGACTGACCACACAGAGACCCATAGACTCACCACACAGAGACCCACAAACTCACCACACAGATACGTATAGACTCACCACACAGAAACCCATAGACTCATCACACAGAGACCCACAGACTCACCACACAGAGACCCACAGACTCACCACACAGAGACCCACAGACTCACCACACAGAAACCCATAGACTCATCACACAGAGACCCACAGACTCACCACACAGAGACCCATAGAATCACCACACAGAGACCCATAGACTCACCACACAGAGACCCATAGACTCACCACACAGAGAACCACAGACTCACCACACAGAGACGCACAGACTCACCATACAGAGACCCACAGACTCACCACACAGAGACCCACAGACTCACCACACAGAGACCCACAGACTCACCACACAGAGACCCACAGACTCACCACACAGAGACCCACAGACTGACCACACAGAGACCCACAGACTCACCACACAAGGACCCACAGACTCACCACACAGAGACCCACAGACTCACCACACAGCTCAGTAGACTGACCACACAGAGACCCACAGACTCACCACACAGAGACCCATAGACTCACCACACAGAGAACCACAGACTCACCACACAGAGACCCACAGACTCACCACACAGAGACCCACAGACTCACCACACAGAGACGCACAGACTCACCACACAGAGACCCACAGACTCACCACACAGAGACCCACAGTCTCACCACACAGAGACCCACAGACTAACCACACAGAGACGCACAGACTCACCATACAGAGACCCACAGACTCACCACACAGAGACCCACAGACTCACCACACAGAGACCCACAGACTCACCACACAGAGACCCACAGACTCACCAGACAGAGACCCACAGACTGACCACACAGAGACCCACAGACTCACCACACAGAGACCCACAGACTCACCACACAGAGACCCACAGACTCACCACACAGAGACCCACAGACTCACCACACAGAGACCCACAGACTCACCACACAGAGACCCACAGACTCACCACACAGAGACCCACAGACTCACCACACACAGACCCACAGACTCACCACACAGAGACCCACAGACTCACCACACAGAGACCCATAGACTCACCACACAGAGACCCACAGACTGACCACACAGAGACCCACAGACTCACCACACAGAGACCCACAGACTCACCACACAGAGACCCACAGACTCACCACACAGCTCAGTAGACTGACCACACAGAGACCCACAGACTCACCACACAGAGACCCATAGACTCACCACACAGATACCCACAGACTCACCACACAGATACCCACAGACTCACCACACTGAGACCCACAGACTCACCACACAGAGACGCACAGACTCACCACACAGAGACCCACAGACTCAGCACACAGAGACCCACAGACTCACCACACAGAGACCCACAGACTCACCACACAGAGACCCACAGACTCACCACACAGAGACCCACAGACTCACCACACAGAGACCCACAGACTCACCACACAGAGACCCATAGACTCACCACACAGAGAACCACAGACTCACCACACAGAGACGCACAGACTCACCACACAGAGACCCACAGACTCACCACACAGAGCCCCACAGACTCACTACACAGAGACCCACAGACTCACCACACAGCTCAGTAGACTGACCACACAGAGACCTACAGACTCCCCACACAGAGACCCACAGACTCACCACAGAGGGACCCACAGATTCATCACCACACAGAGACCCACAGACTCACCACACAGCTCAGTAGACTCACCACACAGAGACCCACAGACTCACCACACAGAGACCCACAGACTCACTACACAGAGACCCACAGACTCACCACACAGCTCAGTAGACTCACCACACAGAGACCCACAGACTCACCACACAGAGACCCACAGACTCACCACACAGAGACCCACAGACTCATCACACAGAGACCCACAGACTCACCACACAGAGACCCACAGACTCACCACACAGATACCCATAGACTCACCACACAGAGACCCACAGACTGACCACACAGAGACCCACAGACTCACCACACAGAGACCCACAGACTCGCCACGCTGAGACCCACAGACTCACCACACAGCTCAGAAGACTGACCACACAGAGACCCACAGACTCACCACACAGAGACCCACAGACTCACCACACAGAGACCCACAGACTCACCACACAGAGACCCACAGACTCACCACACAGAGACCCACAGACTCACCACACAGAGACCCACAGACTCACCACACAGCTCAGTAGACTGACCACACAGAGACCCACAGACTCACCACACAGAGACCCACAGACTCACCACACAGAGACCCACAGACTCACCACACAGAGACCCACAGACTCACCACACAGCTCAGAAGACTGACCACACAGAGACCCACAGACTCACCACACAGAGACCCACAGACTCACCACACAGAGACCCACAGACTCACCACACAGAGACCCACAGACTCACCACACAGAGACCCACAGACTCACCACACAGAGACCCACAGACTCACCACACAGCTCAGTAGACTGACCATGCAGAGACCCACAGACTCACCACACAGAGACCCACAGACTCACCACACAGAGACCCACAGACTCACCACACAGAGACCCACAGACTCACCACACAGCTCAGAAAACTGACGACACAGAGACCCACAGACTCACCACACAGAAACCCACAGACTCACCACACAGAGACCCACAGACTCACCACACAGCTCAGTAGACTCACCACACAGAGACCCACAGACTCACCACACAGAGACCCACAGACTCACCACACAGAGACCCACAGACTCACCACACAGCTCAGTAGACTCACCACACAGAGACCCACCGACTCACCACACATAGAACCACAGACTCACCACACAGAGACCCACAGACTCATCACACAGAGACCCACAGACTCACCACACAGAGACCCACAGACTCACCGCACAGAGACCCTAGACTCACCACACAGAGACCCACAGACTGACCACACAGAGACCCACAGACTCACCACGCAGAGACCCACAGACTCGCCACACAGAGACCCACAGACTCAACACACAGCTCAGAAGACTGACCACACAGAGACCCACAGACTCACCACACAGAGACCCACAGACTCACCACACAGAGACCCACAGACTCACCACACAGAGACCCACAGACTCACCACACAGAGACCCATAGACTCACCACACAGAGACCCACAGACTCACCACACAGAGACCCACAGACTCACCACACAGAGACCCACAGACTCACCACACAGAGACCCATAGACTCACCACACAGAGACCCTCACACTCACCACACAGCTCAGTAGACTGACCACACAGAGACCCACAGACTCACCACACAGAGACCCACAGACTCACCACACAGAGACCCACAGACTCACCACACAGAGACCCACAGACTCACCACACAGCTCAGAAGACTGACCACACAGAGACCCACAGACTCACCACACAGAGACCCACAGACTCACCACACAGCTCAATATACTCACCACACAGAGACCCACAGATTCACCACACAGAGACCCACAGACTAACCACACAGAGACCCACAGACTCACCACACAGAGACCCATAGACTCACCACACAGAGAACCACAGACTCACCACACAAAGACCCACAGACTCACCACACAGCTCAGTAGACTGACCACACAGAGACCCACAGACTGACCACACAGAGACCCAAAGACTCACCACACAGAGACCCACAGACTCACCACACAGAGACCCATAGACTCACCACACAGAGAACCACAGACTCACCACACAGAGACCCACAGACTCACCACACAGAGACCCACAGACTCACCACACAGAGACCCACAGACTCACCACACATAGACCCATAGACTCACCACACAAAGAACCACAGACTCACCACACAGAGACCCAAAGACTCACCACACAGCTCAGTAGACTCACCACACAGAGACCCATAGACTCACCACACAGAGAACCACAGACTCTCCACACAGAGACCCACAGACTCACCACACAGCTCAGTAGACTGACCACACAGAGACCCACAGACTCACCACACAGAGACCCACAGACTCACCACACAGAGACCCACAGACTCACCACACAGTTTGTGTGCTGTCTGTTGAGTCCTTGTTGCTGACTGTCTCTAGATGGTTTTTCCTCGCGCCAACGCTGGGTTCCTGACAAGCGACCAGCAGATCATCAAGCGACACTTCTTTAAGGTGACTCACACCCCCGACTCACACTCCCCGACTCACACTCACAACCCCCCAACTCACACTCACACCCCCGACTCACACGCCCTGACTCACACTGCCGACTCACACTCACTCCCCGACTCACACCCCAACTCACACTCACCACCCGACTCACACTCACCACCCGACTCACACCCCCGACTCACACTCACTCCCTGACTCACACCCACTCCCCGACTCACACCCACTCCCCGACTCACACCCCCGACTCACACTCATACCCCCGACTCACACTAACACCCCCGACTCACACTCACACCCCCGACTCACACTCACCGACTCACACTCATACCCGACTCACACTCACCGACTCACACTCACACCCGACTCACACTCACACCCGACTCACAATCACCGACTCACACTCACACTCCACTCACGCTCACACACCCCGACTCACACTCACACTCGACTCACACCCCCGACTCACACTCACACCCGACTCACACTCCCCGACTCACACTCACACCCAACTTACACACCCGACTCACACCCCCGACTCACACTCACACCCCCGACTCACACTCACACCCCCGACTCACACTCACACCCGACTCACACTCACACCCGACTCACACTCACCGACTCACACTCACACACCCGACTCACACTCACACACCCGACTCACGCTCACACGCCCCGACTCACACTCACCAACTCACACTCACACACCCGACTCACGCTCACACACCCCGACTCACACTCACACACCCGACTCACACTCACACCCCTGACTCACACTCCCCGACTCACAATCACACCCGACTCACACTCACACCCGACTCATGCTCACACACCCCGACTCACACTCACACTCCTGACTCACACACCCCGACTCACACTCACACTCCTGACTCACACTCACCGACTCACACTCACACCCGACTCATGCTCACACACCCCGACTCACACTCACACTCCCCGACTCACACCCCCACCCGACTCACACTCACCGACTCACACTCACACACCCGACTCACACTCACACACCCGAATCACGCTCACACACCCCGACTCACACTCACCGACTCACACTCACACACCCGACTCACGCTCACACACCCCGACTCACACTCACATCCCTGACTCACACTCACCGACTCACACTCACACTCCCCGACTCACACCCCCACCCGACTCACACTCACACCCGACTCACGCTCACACACCCTGACTCACACTCACACCCGACTCACACCCCCGACTCACACTCACACCCCCGACTCACACTCACACCCCCGACTCACACACACACCCCCGACTCACACTCACACCCGACTCACACTCACACCCCCGACTCACACTCACACACCCGACTCACACACACCTGACTCACACTCACACACCCGACTAACACTCACACTCACACACCCGACTCACACACCCGACTCACACTCACACTCACACACCCGACTCACACACCCGACTCACACTCACACATCTGACTCACACTCACACACCCGACTCACACTCACACTCACACACCCGACTCACACTCACACACCCGACTCACACTCACACACCCGACTCACACTCACACACCCGACTCACACTCACACACCCGAATCACGCTCACACACCCCGACTCACACTCACCGACTCACACTCACACACCCGACTCACGCTCACACACCCCGACTCACACTCACACCCCTGACTCACGCTCACACACCCCGACTCACACTCACACCCGACTCACACCCCCGACTCACACTCACACCCCGACTCACACTCACACCCCCGACTCACACACACACCCCCGACTCACACTCACACCCGACTCACACTCACACCCCCGACTCACACTCACACCCCCGACTCACACTCACACACCCCGACTCACACTCACACCCAACTCATGCTCACACACCCCGACTCACACACCCCGACTCACACTCACACCCGACTCACTCCCCGACTCTCTCTCCCCCCCCCCCGCCCGTCTCTGTTAGGGTGACCCCGGGGTGAGTGGCCCCCCCGGCCCCCCCGGCCCCCCCGGGCCCCCTGGGCCAAGGGGCCCCCCAGGAGACACCGGCAAAGACGGACCCCGAGGGAGCCCAGGCACCCCGGTGGGTGACGGGGGTCGGGGAGTCAGGGTTGGTGGACTCGCATGAAGATGGGAAATGGGAAGAGGAAGTGAATGATTGGCCGGGTGAAGTACTCAAACTCATGGAGGAGCCTCAGCTCCTCCATGATGGTGGCTATGAGATGTTAACTACCTCGCCTGGTGTACAGGAGGTCGTGTGGGGTCGATCTTGACCCTAACTATCATCATCACGGTGGCTATGAGATGTTAACTACCTCGCCTGGTATACAGGAGGTCGTGTGGGGTCGATCTTGACCCTGACTATCATCATCACAGTGGCTATGAGATGTTAACTACCTCGCCTGGTATACAGGAGGTCGTGTGGGGTCGATCTTGACCCTGACTATCATCACGGTGGCTATGAGATGTTAACTACCTCGCCTGGTCTACAGGAGGTCGTGGGTTCGATCCCGACCCTGACTCTCTATCATCATCATCACGGTGGCTAGGAGATGTTAATTACCTCGCCTGGGGTACAGGAGGTTGTAGGTTCCATCCCTACCTTGACACCATCTGCTGTGTATTTGGAGTTTGCGTGTCTCTCATCATCATCACGGTGGCTAGGAGATGTTAACTACCTCGCCTGGTCTACAGGAGGTTGTGGGTTCCATCCCTACCCTGATGCCTGCTGCTGTAATTTTTGGAGTTTGCGTCTCTTATCTCCACGTGCTCGCGTGGAATTGTTTTTCCCTCCGGGTCCTCCGGTTTCTCCCTCCACATTTTGGGATCAACATCACCGCGTTTAGACTTTGCGGTTTCTGATGTGAATTCCCACGCGATAAGCCCGCTTCACTGGGCTATCATTTGTGGCCAGGTCGCTTCTGAAAAAGAGTTACATAGCTCAGTCGGGCCTTATCTGGTAAAGGTTAAAAATTCCTTTTAATAGTTCGTTAGTTTTTCGCATGGTGGCAGCTGTTGCCTGTGTTTAGTCGCGGAGGTTCGCAGCGAGATGCTCAGAGCCAATGTCCCGAATCCTGAAATCCAGAATCTCCGCGGTGCTGGCCCAGGGCCATTACGAACATTACGAACATTCCAACCTCGAGACAACACCCTGACCCAGGTCCTGAACCCAGGTGCCCCCCCCCATCCCCCCCCACCAATCCCGGACACGACCCTTGCGAACCACTTGATATCGAGGGCGAGTTGAGGCACACCTGCACCCGGGGCTTGAACTCAGGGCGGACCTAAGTGGTCACGGGCACGGAGTTGGTGACACGGCCATTGTGAGCCTGGCATGAGCATTCCACGATTGAAACGCGACCCGTTCCGTGATTGTATCTGCAAGGTGCTGCTGCTGCTACTGCCGCTCGCTCTCTCGGCCTTCTACAGAGCGCGCGGCGTTCCTCCCAAAACATTCCCCTAATTGGGCTTTCTGCGGCTGTGTGGAGAAATACTGGCGAGGGGAGGGTGGGGGCTAAGTGAGGTTCAGGGGTGGTGGGGGATAGACATACATGTACACGCACAACGACACAGGTATAGATGCACACATATGGACACGTGCAGGCATGCACACTCGCATAGGCTCGCTCACTGAGGACACTCGTACATACACGCTCACACAGACCCACTCGCTCACCCACACATTCACACAGACCCACTCGCTCACCCACACATTCACACAGACCCACTCGCTCACCCACTCATTCACAGACCCACTCGCTCACCCACACATTCACAGACCCACTCGCTCACCCACACACTCACAGACCCACTCGCTCACCCACACACTCACATAGACCCATTCACTCACCCACACATTCACAGACTCACTCATTCACAGACCCACTCGCTCACTCACACATTCACAGACCCACTCGCTCACCCACACATTCACAGACCCACTCGCTCACCCACACACTCACATAGACCCACTCACTCACCCACACATTCACAGACTCACTCACTCACACATTCACAGACTCACTCGCTCACCCACACACTCACAGACCCACTCACTCACCCACACACTCACATAGACCCACTCACTCACCCACACATTCACAGACCCACTCGCTCACCCACACATTCACAGACCCACACATTCACAGACCCACTCATTCACAGACTCACTGACTCACCCACACATTCACAGACCCACTCGCTCACCCACACATTCACAGACCCACTCGCTCACCCACACATTCACAGACCCACTCACCCACACACTCACAGACCCACTCGCTCACCCACACATTCACAGACCCACTCGCTCACCCACACATTCACAGACCCACTCACTCACACATTCACAGACCCACTCGCTCACCCACCCACACACTCACAGACCCACTCACTCACCCACACATTCACAGACCCACTCATTCACAGACCCACTCGCTCACCCACACATTCACAGACCCACTCACTCACCCACACATTCACAGACCCACTCGCTCACCCACACATTCACAGACCCACTCGCTCACCCACACATTCACAGACCCACTCGCTCACCCACACATTCACAGACCCTCTCACTCACTCACCCACACACACATAGTCACACACAGTCACACACAGTCCCACACAGTCCCACACTCACATTCACACAGTCGTAACAAGCGAGGTATATTTTTAACTCTTACGAAGCGGAGCAGCCACCACCACCTCCCCCCCTCCCTCCTCCTCCTCCCCCCCCTCCCTCCTCCTCCCCCCCCTCCCTCCTCCTCCTCCCCCCCCTCCTCGCTGCGTGGAACCCAGCTGGGGGAGCGGTGGCGCTGTGGTTTAGCGCCCTCACCCCTCTCTCTCTCCGAGAGGGCAGCATCAGCAGCAGCATCAGCAGCGTGCGTGCGTGCCGAGCGGAGTAATTGTCTGTAATTGGCTGAATGCGAGTCGGTGTGATGGGATGATGATGATGATGGTGAGAGAGTGAGTAGGCAAAGAGAGGCGTCCAGAAATACCCCTCGCTTCCCGGCACAGAAGCCGTAATCGTTTCCCCCAGCAAGTGAACCCTGGCGGGTTATTTATTTATTGAAAGAGGTAAAGGCGCAGCACTGCAATAGCTCGGCTCACGGCCGTTGCTGGCGGAAGGGGCCTGGCAATGCGAGTGGGGAGCTGCGGAGAGAGAGAGGGGGAGAGAGAGACCACCATCCCCTATTTATCTCGAGGGTTATTTTGGTCGAAATCTCCCCCCGCTCGGCTTGGACGTCTTGGAAGGAAGAGGTGGGAGCGATTGCGTGAGTGAGGACGTGGATAGGCGGGTGAGTAGGTGGCTGGATGATTGAGTGGGTGAGTGAGCCGACGCGTGACTGAAAGAGTGCGTGGTTGAGTTCGTGCGTGAGTGAGTGGATGAGTGGTTGAGTGAGTGGATGAGTGAGTGGATGAGTGCGTGGGTGAGTGCATGGGTGAGTGAGTGGGTGAGTGAGTGGGTGAGTGAGTGGATGAGTGAGTGGTTGAGTTCGTGCGTGAGTGAGTGGATGAGTGGTTGAGTGAGTGGTTGAGTGAGTGGTTGAGTGAGTGTTTGAGTGAGTGGGTGAGTGAGTGGTTGAGTGAGTGGATGAGTGGTTGAGTGAGTGGATGAGTGAGTGGTTGAGTGCGTGGTTGAGTGCGTGTTTGAGTGCGTGGTTGAGTGAGTGGTTGAGTGCGTGGGTGAGTGCGTGGTTGAGTGAGTGGTTGAGTTCGTGCGTGAGTGAGTGGATGAGTGGTTGAGTGAGTGGATGAGTGAGTGGTTGAGTGCGTGGTTGAGTGCGTGTTTGAGTGCGTGGTTGAGTGAGTGGTTGAGTGCGTGGGTGAGTGCGTGGTTGAGTGAGTGGTTGAGTTCGTGCGTGAGTGAGTGGATCAGTGGTTGAGTGAGTGGATGAGTGAGTGGTTGAGTGCGTGGTTGAGTGCGTTTGAGTGCGTGGTTGAGTGCGTGGTTGAGTGCGTGGTTGAGTGCGTGGTTGAGTGCGTGGGTGAGTGCGTGGTTGAGTGCGTGGGTGAGGGAGTGGATGAGTGCGTGGATGAGTTGAGTGCGTGGTTGAGTGCGTGGGTGAGTGAGTGGTTGAGTGAGTGGTTGAGTGCGTGGATGAGTGGTTGAGTGCGTGGTTGAGTGCGTGGGTGAGTGCGTGGGTGAGTGGGTGGGTGAGTGAGTGAGTGGATGAGTGGTTTAGTTCGTGGGTGAGTGCGTGGGTGAGTGAGTGAGTGGGTGAGTGCGTGGATGAGTGGTTGAGTGAGTGGTTGAGTGCGTGGTTGAGTGCGTGGTTGAGTGCGTGGGTGAGTGCATGGGTGAGTGAGTGGGTGAGTGAGTGGGTGAGTGAGTGGATGAGTGAGTGGGTGAGTGAGTGGGTGAGTGGTTGAGTGGTTGAGTGCGTGGTTGAGTGGTTGAGTGGTTGAGTGGTTGAGTGCGTGGTTGAGTGGTTGAGTGGTTGAGTGAGTGGGTGAGTGCGTGGTTGAGTGGTTGAGTGGTTGAGTGCGTGGTTGAGTGGTTGAGTGGTTGAGTGGTTGAGTGCGTGGTTGAGTGGTTGAGTGGTTGAGTTCGTGGTTGAGTGCGTGGTTGAGTGGTTGAGTGGTTGAGTGGTTGAGTGCGTGGTTGAGTGGTTGAGTGGTTGAGTGCGTGGTTGAGTGGTTGAGTGAGTGGGTGAGTGCGTGGTTGAGTGGTTGAGTGGTTGAGTGCGTGGTTGAGTGGTTGAGTGGTTGAGTGCGTGGTTGAGTGGTTGAGTGGTTGAGTGCGTGGTTGAGTGGTTGAGTGGTTGAGTTCGTGGTTGAGTGGTTGAGTGGTTGAGTGCGTGGTTGAGTGGTTGAGTGGTTGAGTTCGTGGTTGAGTGGTTGAGTGGTTGAGTGCGTGGTTGAGTGGTTGAGTGGTTGAGTTCGTGGTTGAGTGGTTGAGTGGTTGAGTGCGTGGTTGAGTGGTTGAGTGGTTGAGTGCGTGGTTGAGTGGTTGAGTGGTTGAGTTCGTGGGTGAGTGAGCAGGGAGGTAACAAAGTTCGTGAGAACAGTCACGATGCGGTGCGAGCGAGTGTAGAGGCGAGTGTGGAGGCGAGTGTAGAGGCGAGTGTGGAGGCGAGTGTAGAGGCGAGTGTGGAGGCGAGTGTGGAGGGGAGTGTGGAGGCGAGTGTGGAGGCGAGTGTGGAGGCGAGTGTGGAGGGGAGTGTGGAGGCGAGTGTGGAGGCGAGTGTAGAGGCGAGTGTGGAGGCGAGTGTGGAGGCGAGTGTGGAGGCGAGTGTGGAGGGGAGTGTGGAGGCGAGTGTGGAGGCGAGTGTGGAGGCGAGTGTAGAGGCGAGTGTGGAGGCGAGTGTGGAGGCGAGTGTGGAGGCGAGTGTGGAGGCGAGTGTTGAGGCGAGTGTGGAGGCGAGTGTGGAGGCGAGTGTGGAGGCGAGTGTGGAGGGGAGTGTGGAGGCGAGTGTGGAGGCGAGTGTGGAGGCGAGTGTAGAGGCGAGTGTGGAGGCGAGTGTGGAGGCGAGTGTGGAGGCGAGTGTAGAGGCGAGTGTGGAGGCGAGTGTGGAGGCGAGTGTGGAGGGGAGTGTGGAGGCGAGTGTGGAGGCGAGTGTGGAGGCGAGTGTAGAGGCGAGTGTGGAGGCGAGTGTGGAGGCGAGTGTAGAGGCGAGTGTGGAGGCGAGTGTGGAGGCGAGTGTGGAGGCGAGTGTGGAGGCGAGTGTAGAGGCGAGTGTAGAGGCGAGTGCTGTCACCATCACCCCGCACCGCTGCTGCACCCTGACCCCTATCGGGTGCAGCAGGGAGGAGTGGCGACGGGGAAGCCGCACGCCGAGTGCGGCTTGGCAACTCGATGTCTGTGAGTGAACCCCTCCATTTGTCTTCTCCACAGGGTTCAAATGGAACTCCAGGCGCTCAGGTGAGGACCCCCCGCCCCCCTCCCCCCGCCCCCCGCCCCCCTCCCCCCGCCCCCCGCCCCCCTCCCAGCCCCCCTCCCCGCCCCCCCTTCCTCCCCTCTCCCTCCCCCCGGCCCCCTCCCCTTCCTCCCCCTCCCCTTCCTCCCCTCTTCCGCCCCCCTCTCCCTCCCCCCTCTACCCCTCCTCTCCCCCCCCTCTCCCTCCCCCCTCTCCCTCCCCCCTCTCCCTCCCCCCTCTACCCCCCTCTCCCTCCCCCCTCGCCCGCCCCCCTCTCCCGCCCCCCTCTCCCGCCCCCCTCTCCTCCCTCTCCCGCCCCCCTCTCCCTCCCCCCTCTACCCCCCCTCCCCCCTCTACCCCCCCTCCCCCCTCTACCCCCCTCTCCCTCCCCCCTCTCCCTCCCCCCTCTCCCGCCCCCTGCTGCTGTGAGACCTGGGCAGGACCCTCCTCCTGGGTCTTTGGACTCAGTGACACTCACAGTCGTGATCACGATGAATACACCCCCCCCAAACCTGTGTGTGGTGGGGGGTCGGGTTGGGCATGTACACGTGTGTGTGTGTACAGGTGTGTGTGTACACGTGTGTGTGTACACGTGTGTGTGTACACGTGTGTGTACACGTGTGTGTACACGTGTGTTCACGTGTGTGTGTGTACACGTGTTAATATGTGTACACGTGTGTTCACGTGTGTGTGCGTACACGTGTTAATATGTGTACACGTGTGTTCACGTGTGTGTGCGTACACGTGTTAATATGTGTACACGTGTATTCACGTGTGTGTACACGTGTTAATGTGTGTACACGTGTGTGTATGTGTACACATGTTAATATGTGTACACGTGTGTTCACGTGTGTGTGTACACGTGTGTTCACGTGTGTGTGTACACGTGTTAATATGTGTACATGTGTGTTCACGTGTGTGTGTGTACACGTGTTAATATGTGTACATGTGTGTTCACGTGTGTGTGTGTACACGTGTTAATATGTGTACATGTGTGTTCACGTGTGTGTGTGTGTACACGTGTTAATATGTGTACATGTGTGTTCACGTGTGTGTGTGTGTACACGTGTTAATATGTGTACATGTGTGTTCACGTGTGTGTGTACACGTGTTAATATGTGTACATGTGTGTTCACGTGTGTGTGTGTACACGTGTTAATATGTGTACATGTGTGTTCACGTGTGTGTGTGTACACGTGTTAATATGTGTACATGTGTGTTCACGTGTGTGTGTGTACACGTGTTAATATGTGTACATGTGTGTTCACGTGTGTGTGTACACGTGTTAATATGTGTACACGTGTGTTCACGTGTGTGTGTACACGTGTTAATATGGGTACACGTGTGTTCACGTGTGTGTTCACGTGTTACTGTGTGTACACGTGTGTTCACGTGTGTGTGTTCACGTGTCAATATGTGTACACGTGTGTTCACGCGTGTGTGTACACGTGTGTTCACGCGTGTGTACACGTGTTAATATATGTACACGTGTGTTCACGTGTGTGTGCACACATGTTAATATGTGTACACGTGTGTTCACGTGTGTGTGTTCACATGTTAATGTGTGTACACGTGTGTTCACGTGTGTGTGTTCACATGTTAATGTGTGTTCACGTGTGTGTGTTCACGTGTGTGTTCACGTGTTACTGTGTGTACACGTGTTACTGTGTGTACACGTGTGTTTACGTGTGTGTGTTCACGTGTGTGTGTTCACGTGTTACTGTGTGTACACGTGTGTTCACGTGTGTGTGTTCACGTGTGACTGTGTGTACACGTGTGTTTACGTGTGTGTGTTCACATGTGTGTGTGTGTACACGTGTGTTTACGTGTGTGTGATCACGTGTTACTGTGTGTACACGTGTGTTCACGTGTGTGTGTTCACGTGTTAATATGTGTACACGTGTGTTCACGTGTGTGTGTTTACAGGGCCCCATTGGTGAGCTGGGTCTCCCTGGTATCCAGGGCCCCCCCGGCCCCGTGGGCCCCCCTGGACTCAAGGTGCCTTATGAGTGTGTACACGTGTGTGTGTGTGTACGTGTGTGTGTACGTATGTACGTGTGTGTGTGTGTACGTGTGTGTGTGTGCACGTGTGTGTGTGTGCACGTGTGTGTGTACGTGTAAGTGTGTGTGTGTACGTGTGTGTGTGTGTGTACGTGTGTGTGTACGTGTAAGTGTGTGTGTGTACGTGTGTGTGTGTGTACGTGTGTGTACGTGTGTGTGTGCACGTGTGTGTGTGTACGTGTGTGTGTGCACGTGTGTGTGTACGTGTGTGTGTGCACGTGTGTGTGTGCACGTGTGTGCACGTGTGTGTGTGCACGTGTGTGTACGTGTGTGTGTGCACATGTGTGCACGTGTGTGTACGTGTGTGTGTGCACGTGTGTGTGCACATGTGCGCACGTGTGTGGCACGTGTGTGTGTGTACGTGTGAGTGTGTGTAGTGGGGAGCGGTAGTGTAGCGGTTAGCGCTACGCTGCACTATGAACCTGGCGACACGGGTTCGATTCCCGCTCACGGCCAACACCAGTGACGATTATCTTAACCGGTTCCGGGCCTCCCCTAGGTCGACTCAGCCTCAAATGAGTACCTGGTGCGGTGTGTAAACATCGTCACTAGGGAGACAAAGGCGGTCGGGCGTGGTATGTTGGCCACCCACCCCCTCGTGTGCCGTTACCGGCCTTCATAGGTGCTCGCTAACAGCACTTGCCCCTACAGTCTGTTTAGGCTACACGGGGGATCTTTGTCTTTGGTGTGTGTGCAGGGCGACATGGGAGAGACAGGAGAGTTGGGTCTGTCTGGGCCACCTGGAGAAAAGGTGAACCCCATTATCATCATCACCATAATCATCACCACCATCATCATTACCACTACCATCATCATTACCATTACCACCATAATCGCCACCATCATCACCACCACCATCATCATCATCACCATCATCATCACCACCACGTGTGTGCTCTTCTGTGCGTGCAGGGAGATGCTGGAGTCCCTGGGCTACTGGGAGTTGTCGGGCCCAGGGTCAGTAGGTGCCAGCACCATGACCATCATCATCACTACCACTACCATCACCACCACCATCACTACCACTACCATCACCACTACCATCATCACTACCATCACCATCATCATCACTACCACTACCACTACCATCACCACTACCATCATCACTACCATCATCACTACCATCACCACCACCATCACTACCATCACTATCATCACCACCACCATCACTACCATCACTACCACTACCATCACCACTACCATCACCACTACCATCACCACTACCATCACCACTACCATCATCACTACCATCACCACTACCATCATCACTACCATCACCACTACCATCATCACTACCATCACCACCACCATCACTATCATCACCACTACCATCATCACTACCATCACCATCATCACTACCATCACCACCATTACTACCACCACCACCATTACTACCACTACCATCACTACCACCATCACCACCATCACCACCATCACTACCACCACTACCACCACTACCATCACCACCATCACCACCATCATCACTACCTATCACTACCATCACCACCACCATCACTACCATCACTACCATCACCACCACCATCACTACCATCACCACCAACATCACTACCATCACTACCATCACCACCACCATCACTACCATCACTGCCATCACTGCCATCACCACCACCATCACTACCATTACTACCATCACCACCACCATTACTACCATCACTACCACCATCACTACCATCACCACCACCATCACCACCATCACTACCATCACCACCACCATCACCACCATCACCACCACCATCACCACTACCATCACCACCATCACCACCATCATCACTACCTATCACTACCATCACCACCACCATCACTACCATCACTACCATCACCACCACCATCACTACCATCACCACCAACATCACTACCATCACTACCATCACCACCACCATCACTGCCATCACCACCACCATCACTACCATTACTACCATCACCACCACCATTACTACCATCACTACCACCATCACTACCATCACCACCACCATCACCACCACCATCACTACCATCACTGCCATCCCTGCCATCACCACCACCATCACTACCATCACTACCATCATCACCACCATCATCACCATCACTACCACCATCACCACCAAAATTACCCTCTGTATGAGCGTCCATCATTGCATAGGCCCCTGCGGGCCACTGGCGGGGCCCCTGGTGGCCTTTAGCGCGGCCCCTGACGACTCACGGCCCCCACCGACAACACCCAACCAGCCTAGACACCCCTAGACACCCCCCATCATCATCATCATCGTGCTGCTGCTGTCACAACCCCCCAATGGTTTCAAATGTTGCGGCGAGCCTCGCTCACACTGACGACGTCTTATCGGCGAAAGTGGCAACAACCCCCTCTGACAATTGGTGAAGAAACACTCATCTGCATCGTCATCATCACCACCACCACCATCATTACCACAATCATCACCACCGACATTATCATCACAATCATAATCATCACCAACACCACCATCATCATCATCATCGCACTTACCGTCACCGTCAATGCCATCACCACCGTCACCGTCACTCATCATCAGGCTGGTGAAGTGCGTGTTGTCCGTGCCCAGGGTTTGGTTGGGCCCAAGGGTGAGCCCGGCTCTGTGCACGTGCTGGAGGGAGAGGCAGGGGTACGCGTGGTGCAGGTCAGTACACAACGACACGGACAAAGATCCCCCCGGTAGCCTTTAACACACCGTAGGGGCAAGTGCTGTGAGCGAGCACCACGGGTGAAAGGTGGCACGGCACACATGGTCCTCAATTAAGGCTGAGTCGACCTAGAGGAGGCACAGACACAGGGCGCTAACCGTTCCCCGACAGCTATACACACACACGTATACACACACGTGTACAAAGATCAAAGATCAAAGATCCCCCGTATAGCCTTAACAGACTGTAGGGGCAAGTGCTGTTAGCGAGCACCTATGAAGGCCGGAACGGTACACCGAGGGGGTGGGTGGCCAGCACCACGCCCGACCGCCTTTGTCTCCCCAGTGGCAATGTTTACACACCGCACCAGGTACTCATTTGAGGCTGAGTCGACCTAGGGGAGGCCCGGGACCGGTTCAGATTATCGTCACTGGTGTTGGCCGTGAGCGGGAATCGAACCCGGGTCGCCAGGTTCATAGCGCAACGTAGCGCTAACCGCTACACTACCGCTCCCCACACATGTACACACATGAACACACATGTACACACACACGCACACGTGTACACGCACACGCACACGTGTACACGCACACGCACACGTGCACACACACACACGTGCACACACACGTGCACACACACACATGTGTACACACATGCACACACACACACACGTGTACACACGCAACAGATAAAAATAAAAAGATCCCCCGTGTAGCCTTAACAGACTGTAGGGGCAAGTGCTGTTAGCGAGCAGCACCTATCAAGGCCGGCACGGCACACGAGGGGGTGGGTGGCCAGCACCACGCCCGGCCGCCTTTGTCTCCCCAGTGGCGATGTTTACACACCGCTCCAGGTACTCGTTTGAGGCTGAGTCGACCTGGGGGAGGCCCAGGACCGGTTCAAATCATCGTCACTGGTGGTAGTGTAGCAGCGTGCTAACCGCTACACGCTACACTTCCGCTCCCGACACACGCACACGTGCACGCGTACACCCACACGTGATTTACCCCTACCCAATACATATAACCCCCCCTTCTTTCCCCTAGGGCCCCCCAGGCCTCCCGGGACTCCAGGGCCCCGTGGGAGAGAAGGTAGACCGTGGGAATGATGAGTTCTGATTGGTTGTCGGAATTAGTGGGCGAATGAGTAATTGAGTCGGTGAATACATTAAAGAATGAGTGGGTCAATTAGTTAGTGGTTGGGTTGACTGAATGAGTGGAGGAATTGGGTGAATGAGCAATTGTTGTGAATTATCGGCTGAGCGATTGAGTAACTGAATAACTGAATGGATTGTGAATTAATTAATTGAGTTATCAATTTGTTCGATGGACCAAATGTTGAGTAATCACGTTAATGATTGGCCGAATGAGAAAGTTAATTATTGGCTGATGTGTTGCCTGAGTCATTAAGCAGTAGCCTAAATTAGTGACAGAATATTTGAACTATTACTTAATTGAATTCTCGAGTAATATAATAATTTATAGACATATTGAATGAGTAAATAATTGAGCAGTGGAGTCAATGAAAACAATAATTTCCTTTTAAATTAATGAGTAATTGAGTGAAGAGTAATTTCATCACCTTTTCAACGATAAATGGAGTGAGTGTGTAATTTAATGACCTTTTAAATTAATGTCTAATTGAGTGAGTGTGTAATTGAATGACTATTTAAATGCATGGCGTATTGAGTGTGCAATTGAATTACTGTTCACATTAATGGATAATTGAGTGTGTCATTGAAATACTGTTTAAATGAATGTCTAATTGAGTGAGTGTGTAATTGAATTACTGTTTAAATGAATGTATAATTTAATGATTGTGTAATTGAATTACTGTTTAAATGATTGTCTAATTGAGTGCGTGTGTAATTGAATTATTGTTTAAATTAATGTCTAATTGAGTGAGTGTGTAATTGAATTACTGTTTAAAATAATGTCTAATTGAGTGAGTGTGTAATTGAATTACTGTTTAAAATAATGTCTAATTGAGTGAGTGTGTAATTAAATTACTGTTTAAAATAATGTCTAATTGAGTGCGTGTGTAATTGAATTACTGTTTAAATAATGTCTAATTGAGTGAGTGTGTAATTGAATTACTTTTTCAGTGACTGTGTAATTGGGTGAGTGTGTAATTGAATGACTGTTTAAATTAATGTCTAATTGAGTGTGTAATTGAATGACTGTTTAAATTAATGTCTAATTGAGTGCGTAATTGAATGACTGTTTAAATTAATGTCTAATTGAGTGTGTAATTGAATGACTGTTTAAATTAATGTCTAATTGAGTGCGTAATTGAATGACAGTTTCAGTGACTGTGTAATTGAGTGAGTGTGTAATGGGATTACTGTTTACATTCATGGCTAATTGAGCGAGTGGAGGACTCACCACCGAATGAATGAATGAATGATGTGTCGTTCCAGGGAGACGCTGGCCCGGAGGGGGCCCTGGTGAGTCCTTCACGTCTAAAGTCGGCAACTCGTTGTTGTCAAACACGAATACAATTACACGGTTGGATAACTGGTTGGATAACTTATCATGTCTTCTTAAATGAAGACATGATAACTCATCAAACTGCGGTAGGCGTGTTCTGGCTCCCTTCGGATCACGTGATTGATTCACCCCTCCCCCCTCCCCCCTTCTCCCCCCCCCCTCGCCCCCCCCCCCAAAACAGGGGCCCTCCGGTCCCAAAGGCGATAAGGGAGACTTCGGGATATCAGTGAGTTTGGTGGAGCACACACGTACAGACGCATACACACACACGCGTACACACGCGTACACACACACGCGTACACACGCGTACACACACACACACACGCGTACACACACACGCACACACGCGTACACACGCACACACGCGTACACAAACACACACGCGTACACACGCGTACACACACGCGTACACACAGGCGTACACACGCGTACACACACGTATATAAGTATGTAAACGTGCGTGCACACACACACATATGCACACGTTTACATACGTACATACAAATACAAAAACAACAACAACCGCCATTCGCCACTAAGTGGCGGTGACGTCACCACGACGCTTGTGCCAGGCTATGTGCACATTGAGGCGCCGGGTGGCTAAAGCACAGCAAGTTGGCACAGTAGGGGGGCACAGGTGGTGCATCAGCCAGTCATCTCAGTCGTCTCAGTCAGTCGACCCGTGGCACCTGCTGGGTCTGCCCCGTGACCTCCTGCCAGCGGGCGTTCGACACTTCCCATACAAATACACACGTGTACACACACACTTACACACGTGTACACACACGCGTACACGTACATACAAATTTCCCCCGTATAGCCTTAACAGACTTTTGGTGGCAAGTGCTGTTAGCGAGCACCTATGAAGGCCGGCACGGCACACGAGGTGGTGGGTGGCCAGCACCACGCCCGGCCGCCTTTGTCTCCCTAGTGGCGATGTTTACTACACACTGCACCAGGTACTCATGTGAGGCTGAGTCGACCTAGGGGAGGTCCTGGTTAACGCCTCATTCCTCTCACTGGGGTAGATAAAATAGGTACCGATTTGTGGAATGGTTGCCCGGTGGAGAGACTCAACCCCTGCCATAGTAATGTGGCATTTCCACCACTGGCTCTGCAGGGCTGTACACAGGAGATGAGTCTCAGCTGAGCAGGAAATCTGAGATTTTGATGTCAAATTCTCCCACTGCCCTCTGTCACCCCTCCCCTCGACCCCGTCCTCCACCCCCCCCCTCCCCACTCCCCACCCAGGGCCTTCCTGGACCCAAGGTGAGTGGGATACCGACTCAACCACACAGCCATGTTCAATCCACTGCTGGATAACGCTCCCCTCCACCCCCCCTCCCCCCACCACGAGCGTTATTTGACCATACTTCACCACGCCGGTCAGCGCGGATTGAGGAGGAGGGAGAAGAGGGGGGCAGGAGGAGGGGGTAGGAGGAAGAGGGGGAGGAGGAGGAGGAGGAAGAGGAGGGGGAGGAGGAGGAGGGGGGCAGGAGGGGGAGGAGGAGGGGGAGGAAGAGGGGGAGGAGGAGGGGGAGCAGGAGGGGGTGGAGGTGTAGGAGGAGGGGGAGGAGGGGGAGGAGGAGGAGGGGGAGGAGGGGGAGGAGGGGGAGCAGGAGGGGGTGGAGCTGTCCCGGTCAGTGAGTGCTACATTGGCCCTGACGAGCTCGTCGGGTGGTGGAGGGCAAACGACAACAAATTCGGTGCAAGAAGTAGAATATTTATTCATGCTGGAGGAATTGTATTAGCCCAGGAGGGGCGGGTAAGAACGTGACAATAACAAACAATGAAAACACATTAGGAGTGCAAAGTAATAGGAAAGGTAAATAAATAATTTAAAATATACAAATAAAACTAAACACATTGTTTTTGTAATCTTACCAGGTGAAGCCCACTCGGCTATTAAGCTTCCCTTTCAGAAGCGACCTGCCCACAAATGATAGCTGAACGAAGTGTGGCTCATAGTAATGGGTTTTACCCTTTTAACTGGCACAAAAACTGACACCTTTATTCAAGGCATCATGTTTGCAATAACCACAACACAAGCAGTCAAAATGCAAACAAAAGAGACAACTCTGCATATTATTATCAGAGTTGTCTCTTTTGTTTGCATTTTGACTGCTTGTGTTGTGGTTATTGCAAACATGATGCCTTGAATAAAGGTGTCAGTTTTTGTGCCAGTTAAAAGGGTAAAACCTATTCCTATATCTTGTTTCTGGCAAAGGAGGTCTCATAATGTAAATGCTCACCCCGAGCCCTCAATACTCTGATAGTGGCGCTGTTTTTGAGTTGTACGCCTTTTGGCGTCTTCTGGTCCACCACCAATGGAGACTGGGCTCTAAGAAAAGCCGTCTCGGGTGTGGACCAATCAAATTCAAGGACAGTGCCAATATTATTATCAGAGTTGTCTTTTTTGTTTGCATTTTGACTGCTTGTGTTGTGGTTATTGCAAACATGATGCCTTGCATAAAGGTGTCAGTTTTTGTGCCAGTTAAAAGGGTAAAACCTATTCCTATATCTCGTTACTGGCAAAGGAGGTCTTATAATGAAGTGTGGCTCATCATCATCACATTTATGGCTTTTTTGGGGTGATTTTGAAAACGTTTTTTTTTTGTTTGGCCACGTTTGTTTGTTGTGGTACGGAGTTAGACTGATGGCCTTAATCTTAGTTGTGGTTGTTGTTGTTGTTGTTGTTTGACTTGCATCCCACTGGGATTTTTTTGCACACAGCTTTGGTGGTGTACGGTGCTTTTTCTGAAATATTTTTTGCTGTTTTTGGCCCAGGATTTTTTTCTGTTTTGCACAAAGCCACACGCAGTCACTTGAAGATGTTCGTCTTGTTCGTGTTTCTTGTTTGTCGCGGTTAGCACCCGACTCAAGAGCCGAAGGGCTCGCGGGGCTCTTCACCAAATAAATGAAACTGAAAACTGAAATCACCACCACGTGGGAAAGTTTAGCAGCAGCCACGTTGACTCTAAACGTGGAGGCGAAAACCCCGCAGGACCCGGAGAAAACATCCACGTGGCCTGAGCCTGAAACCGATATCCAGCAGTGGATTGACCATGGGGGCCGTGACGTCACGCACCTAGGGGGGGGGTGGTGGTGGGGTCAGACATTTGTGACGATGTGTGACGAGGGAGGAGGGGGGGGAGGGGTTTGAGAAATGTGACGTCGCATTAAAATTCGCAACTTTATAAATAAATATTGACACAACACGTTCTGCTTAATTAAATAGACTTTTTTTTTTAATAAATGTTTTCTCCTACAACATCAGAGTACAGCGCCACATTAAATACGCAACTACAATGACAATAGTTTTAAAGCGATTTGAAGCATGTTTTATATATTTTTTTGGGGGGGGGGGGCAGAGGTTTGTGACGTCATATTTGAGTGGGGGGGGGGGTTCGGACTTTTTGTGACGCCGTGTGACGCGGGGGGTGGGGGGCCAAAAATCGCGTGACGTCATTTACGGACGGCCCAATGGCCGATGACGATGGCGATTATTGAGTGACACGTGCCAATGAAGTGGGATGCTCATGACTGATGTATGCTAATGACGCGGAATCACGTGGTGCGCAGGGCGAGCACGGATTGGACGGGGAGAAGGGACGCGACGGGGAGGTGGGGGCCAAGGGGGAGCGGGGCCCCCTGGGGCTCCCGGTGAGAGACCACGTGATGCACACACGTCACAATAGCAGTGCTGGAGCAATCCGATGAGCCACTAAGCCAGGGGTGGGCACATGTTTTGACTCGCGGGCCACAGTGGGTTCTAGAATTCGACAGAGGGGCCGGGCCAGGAGCAGATGGACGGAGTGTAAATGTGTGAACTAATATAAATGACGTGTCAAAAATCATTACGTGAAAGGATTTGGCCTTCAACAGGTAGCAAAGCGTTTATTTGCGAGGCAATTGAACAAATTGCTCGAACACGGACTGATCAAACATCACGAAAACATCTGAGGCTTGCGCCCAAACCAATCACCACACTCCCGGTTTAAAGTGCGCCATCTAATGTGGGAATGGCGGCATGGCAGGAGAAAGGAAAAAATTAATAATAATAATGATAATAATATTACTTGGACAAGTTCGGCGAGCCGGATTAAAAAGACCAACGGGCCGTACGTTGCCCGTGTCTGTACTAAGCTCCTTTTTCACGAATGTCCGGTTTGGGGCGGGTAAGATCGTTACAACAACAAGCAGTACAAACGAACAAAATCACGAGGAGAGAGTGCGGAGTACGCAAAAGGTCAACAACATCACCCGAACACAAACAAATACGACGAAGCCATCCCCATCCTACAAAGTTCCCCCGTAGGATAGCTTCCAACAAAGATTGTTCGGGCAAGTGCTGTTCACGAGCGGCACCTGTGAAGGCCGGCACGGCACGCGAATGGGGTGCGTGGCAAACACCAAGGACCAAGCCCCGGCCGCCTTTGTCTCCCCCAGTGCTGCTGTTTCCTACACACACCGCACCAGGTACTCATTTTAAGGCTGAGTCGACCTCGCGGAAGCCCAGGGGACCGGGTTCAGATGATAGTCACGTGATCGGGAATCGAACTACGGGTCGCTGGATTCGTAGCGCAGCACACGAACCACTACGACTGCCGCTCCACTGGTCTCCGCGTACACAACAACAACAACAAGTGCCAGGCTATGTGCACGTTGAGGCCACGTGACGCGTCCAACGCCCGCCGGCAAGAGGTCACGGGATAGACGCAGGTGCCACACGTATACACACGTGTCCACACACACACACACGTGTCCACACACACACGTAGACACACACACGTGGACACACGCGTGGACGCACACACACGTGTCCACACACACGTGTCCACACACACACGTAGACACACACACGTGGACACACGCGTGGACGCACACACACGTGTCCACACACACACACGTGTCCACACACACACGTATACACACACGTGGACACACACACACGTGGACGCACACACACGTGGACGCACACACACACACACATAGCTTGATTTACACCGACCCATACTTCACCGATTCTCCAAACTAACCTGTAAGCGCATCACGTGGGTGCATGCACATGCATCTGAATTTGCATGTATGTGTCTGTGAATGCATAGCCGTGTGTGTGTATGTGTGCGTGTGTGTGTGTATGTGTGCGTGTGTGTGTGTATGTGTGCGTGTGCATGGTGCCTGCATGCACCAGGGCTCTGCTGGTGTGGATGGCCACCCGGTGAGTTGTAACACTAACGCTGACACTAACACTGCCACTAACACTGCCACTAACACTAGCAATAACACTAACACTGCCACTAACACTAGCACTAACACTGCCACTAACACTGCCACTAACACTAGCACTAACACTGCCACTAACACTGCCACTAACGCTGACACTAACACTGTCACTAACACTAACACTGCCACTAACACTAACGCTGACACTAACACTAGCACTAACACTGCCACTAACACTGCCACTAACACTAACACTGCCACTAACACTGCCACTAACACTAACGCTGACACTAACACTGCCACTAACACTAACGCTGACACTAACACTGCCACTAACACTGCCACTAACACTAACACGGCCACTAACACTGCCACTAACATTAACACTGTCACTAACACTGTCACTAACACTAACACTGCCACTAACACTGCCACTAACACTGCCACTAGCACTAACACTAACGCTGACACTAACACTAGCACTAACACTGCCACTAACACTGTCACTAACACTGTCACTAACACTAACACTGCCACTGACACTAACGCTGATACTAACACTGGAACTAACACTAACGCTGACACTAACGCTAACACTAACGCTGACACTAACATTAGCACTAACACTGCCACTAACACTGCCACTAACACTGTCACTAACACTGTCACTAACACTAACACTGCCACTGACACTAACGCTGACACTAACACTGGAACTAACACTAACGCTGACACTAACGCTGACACTAACGCTGACACTAACACTGGCACTAACACTGCCACTAACACTGCCACTAACACTGCCACTGACACTAACGCTGACACTAACACTGGAACTAACACTAACACTGCCACTGACACTAACGCTGACACTAACACTGGAACTAACACTAACACTGCCACTGACACTAACGCTGACACTAACACTGGAACTAACACTAACGCTGACACTAACGCTGACACTAACGCTGACACTAACACTGGCACTAACACTGCCACTAACACTGCCACTAACACTGCCACTGACACTAACGCTGACACTAACACTGGAACTAACACTAACGCTGACACTAACACTAACGCTGACACTAACACTGGGTGGGTGAGCGAGTAGGTGAGTGGGTGAGTGAGTGAGTTGTTGTGACTAGCAGTGTGGCGGCTGGGTGAGTGAGCGAGTTGGTGAGTTGGTGAGTGAGTGAGTGAGTTGTTGTGACCTTCAGTGTGGGGACTGGGTGGGTGAGCGAGTTGGTGAGTGATTGAGTGAGCAAGCTGGTGAGTGGGTGAGTGAGTGAGTTGGTGAGTGGGTGAGTGAGTGAATTGGTGAGTGAGTGAGTTGGTGAGTGGGTGAGTGGGTGAGTGAGTGAGTTGGTGAGTGGGTGAGTGAGTGAGTTGGTGAGTGGGTGAGTGAGTTTGTGAGTGGGTGAGTGAGTGAGTGAGGTGGTGAGTGAGTGAGTGAGCGAGCTGGTGAGTGAGTGAGTGTTGTTGTTGTGACTTGCAGTGTGGCGGCTGGGTAGGTGAGCGAGTGGGTGAGTGAGTGAGCTGGTGAGTGGGTGAGTGAGTGAACTGGTGAGTGGGTGAGTGAGTGAGTGAGTTGTTGAGACGTTCAGAGTCCTCAACACGGGTGGAGGAATCAACGAGTGAAGTTCACGGGACGAGTGCCCGTGGTAGTCGTAGCGATAGAAGAGTGACAAGGAGGTGACTGACATCTCTCTCTCGTGTGTGTGTGCGTGGTGCATCACAGGGAGATATAGGCCCCATGGGACCTGCTGGGCCACCAGGCCCAAAAGGAGACCAGGTGAGACGATGGGGAGATGTGGTGACGGTGGTGATGGGCGATGAGGGTGGTGATGATGGTGCTGAGCATTTCTGTGAGGTCCTGGGGGAGGGAAAATCCATCAGCCAGGAAAACATCGTGGCACAAAGTGAGGATGACCCTGCTGAGGCTGCGGTGCCTCAAATATTGAAGAATTCACCCCCTGTGAGTGGCTGGCTGAGGTGCCATCTGTTGAGGAACTACTGAAGGTGATCCGGAGTCTGAGACCAGGAAAGGCAGCGGGCAGAGATGATCTCCCAAGCGAAATGCTGAGGGAGGGTGGCGTTTGTGCACAGA